TTCTCCGTTAGTTGAAGCTTCATGGTGATAAATTTCAGCCACAGAACCCGTCTTCCGGAGGCCTGATCTCTTTGTAGACACTTTGGGACGGCTCCTGATGCAATCGTCTGGGCTGTCCTGATCGTCTGGACTTCCGGGGAAGACAACTTTTACCGTGGTGGCAGTGGTGCCGTTTCTCTTGACTCTTTTCCCCATCTCAAACGTCAACTTCTTGTCCGATGTCTTTGGGCGGTCCTTCTTCTTGGCTGAGGCCAATGGGCGATGTTTGCCATCGAGGCCGACCGGGGCGTCCGCGGCTTTCTCGGCCTCGATGGTGGGCAGCGGGGTGAGCGGTTTTTGCGTTACGACAAACAGGCGTTCATTGGAGCCGCCGAGTAACTTGGGCTGCTGGCTGGTGCCCAGCAACGTGTACATCGTCTCCATCATAAAGTCAAAAACTTACTTCAGATAATAAAAAGAATTGCTTGGAGATCCCTTGGACTTCTTACGATCTGCTATCGCTTTGGGATTAGAAAATGATTTTTGTAGTTTAGCTTGTGCATATTTCATGCTGCCGACAGCTCCTTATATTCGAACCGATCCGTGTCGAGGTCCTCTCTTGTCATAGTTTCCCCACACAAAACGCTAACAATAGAGGTTTACATTCCGCAGAAAATTGAGAGGTGTTTACGACAATGCCGCCCCAGCGGGACGGTGACATGCCCGGCATTGTCTGTCCGCACACCAATTTTGAAGTCGACAATCAGGGAGGGCTGCAAAGTGCCAAGAGTGTCCTATTGGCCATTTCACGGGGTGTCAAATTCAATTTGCGGAGTGGTTTTCACCCCTGCGTCGGTTACACTGCAGGACGGTGTCAAATGCATTGTCAGGACTATACACATGTCGTGAGCGCATCAACGTTAGCAACGGAAACATCCCTGGTTCATCTCCACAACATGCACGCCGACCCGGTCCGTGATCTGTGCCGGAACGGCAGAGCAGTCCGCTCCACTCCGCATCGGCTCTGCCGAAACGTACGAGTGCACAGGCGGCGGGCCCCTTCAGCGGCAATTAATTTGGAATCCAATTCAACCTTTATTCCCCGACGAAGAGCCTGCCCCGGCGGCATTATCTCCTGCACTAATTGCGTGCATTATCGCGCCGACCATCTGTGGGCAAAGAGTATTTTGGCCTTTCTGCCCTTCCGGCCTCAGAGACAGTCATAAAAACTTGCCCGTTGTGTTTAGCTATTGTCCCCTCACTATCGTCTTCCGCTTGCACCAGCTTGCCACCCCATCACCCACCCATGCAGGTCTTTATGTCAGCCACTGGGGCTCTGTAAGCCAGTCGGGTGGCGACTAATGGGACAAATGCCCTTAAAACTATCGTTGGGAGACAGAGCAAACATGGTCGTGGGTGAGCGATCCGCGTGGATTCTGACGCTATTTGCCTTAACGACATGGAAAGATTGGTTGTCAAGCGACTGGAAAACCATGTTTACAGACTCGCGACAGGACCCAATACAGACAACTTCAGGCACTTTTTTTTACCCGTTTCCGTTTAGGCAGACTTCAGCTCACTTTGTAATACAATTTTATAAACAAGAGAACCCTATCATGAAATGAAGCAGTCGTTTGTCTTGTGAGTTTCAGCCCCGCACTATTGCCGCCACAAGATTCTTTTATTTTGAATTACCCGCTTCGGTTCATACTACAGGCCAATGAGAGAGCGGAACGAATCTGACGTCACGAGACCTTAACAGCAAAATTTCGCTCGACTTGATAAGTGTTCAACTTTTGCGAAGGCAGCGCAAATTATGATTTGGCGCTTTCAAATTCGCGTTTGTGTTCAACTTTCGCGTGAAGTATGAACCGGCCTTGAGTTCCCAGAAGCGCAAAGAAACAGAGAAGAACACCAATGGTAAACGTTGCGACCATTTTGTCGATTTTGACTTTTTTAAAATTTTACTAATACGCGGCTCGCTAAACTATAACTGTCCAAAGCAAAGTAACCTAAGACCCAAGACAAAGGTATACAGAAACCTTTCAAGTCTCACCCGCATGCCTAACCGGTGGTTGGGGAAAGAAACGAACCCTCCCGGCAAAAAGTCCCCCCCCCAAAATAAGTGGAGTTCTACGATCGACAAAGGAAGGGGGAAAGGGGCAAAACCGAAGCCTGAGAAATGGGTGAACCAAAAACAACGGTTGCACAATGAAGGGTATACTTGTGGTCATTTGAAATAACAAACTGATTATTGTTAGAGAATTAAAGCATGGGCGAAACCTCTAGAAATAGCTACTTAAGGCTGCTTTGGCGTGGACAAAGAAAACACCGGGATGTTATTTAGCGAGAGGAATAACCAAAGGATCAGTGTACATTTGTGCAAGGTAGGGATAATTGAGTGTTGTTTAGCGGTGTTTCGAACTGACAACTATCATTCAAACACCAAGGGAAAAAAATGACTGGCACAGTTTCCATGTACCGGCTCTCAAGTTCCATTGCAGCGCGCGAGGGGATATGGGAAAACTTCAATCTAAAACAAAGTACTACATTTTTCACATGGCGATGAGAGTGGCTCCAACCAGAAGTCTGCAACAGTAAGAACATGTGATTTGAATTCCGATTACCACCATTGGACAAATACTTTATCTTCAGTACGTTTCTTACCAAACTGTGGTTACACGGTACCTGAAGTAATTACATTGCCCGTTAGAATCCCGTCTCTTTCAATAGCATTTTTTTAACACACGGACGGGATTATGCTACAAGAAATACCGAAACTCACTCATCTTTTTGAAATAAAGAAGTAATCTTGATGCGGGTGGCAAAGGCAACCGCTCTGGCGCCTTGACTTGCATTTTACAAACTCTGGAGGAAACCCAGGGATGCAATGGCCGCCACCGCCAAGGACGTGCGGCGACTCCGTCTCGGCCGGGATATTCTGTCAGTCACGCATGATCTAATCTGTGTTTTCACCACTTCAAGGGAAATCCCACTTCACACGATGACGAGACACCCTAAGCCGCTTAACCAGTCGACGGTAGGATGAAGATCGGGGTTTTTCTGTTGATATCCTTCCCAACACAAATATAAAGTGCTTGGAGGAGGTCACGATGGAGCCTTTACCGGATAAACACAAGATGAACACATCGAGGGGGATCTTCAGCATCAACCTGACAGGAACAGCGTGGTGACGCCCAACAAGTCAGAGTAGATCGGCTTAATAAGCCTGTAGAGTTTTCGAGTTTAGCTGAAATTCTGGACATTTGTGCTGGCCGAAATAAACAGTCAATCAACAAAATAAACAAAATACATGAGCGTGAGACATGTAAAATGTTTATGCTTAGCGAATTTATTCTGGCTAAACGGATTTTTAAAGTAAATCTGGCCATCGCTGGCATAAATGCATAATCACTTGGAAACACAAAATCAGAAAAATGTCGTGAATAGCAACCATGATGTATGTAGAACTTCTCAGAAAACTTATGGCATTTATCACATGAATTATGGGTCAATCTATAAACTTGGTGTCCAAAGTGTGCCATTTTTTCGTCCCTGTTACCTCTGACGTGTATACCATTTGACAAGTTTGACAAGGGATGTATCACTGAAATTGATTTCAAACTATTTTTATTTGTCTGGCAGGTAATTCGCAGTACTTATTCAGTCTTGGAAATTAAACAATGAGCTCTATACATTAAAAATCAAATGCCTGACGTCACAGGGACGGGGAAAAAGTGACCCCAAATAGAATGACCCTTATAAAAGTGTTTCTTTGCAAATGCAGGGGACTAGTACTAGTAGTCTCTGTCCTTTTCGTTGACCATAATATTATTAATTATAAATGATGTACACGTGAGACAGGAGGATGGGAACAGTTCTGCACTGGCTTATTTCGCTCAGAAAACCTTTTTAGACAAACCCGATTGACTAAGTGGCTATCTTCAATTTTATGGAAACACCATAGTTTTCCGGTAGGTATATAGTAAAAAAAATACACCAAAGGACTGACTCGGGGACGATAAATGCCATTCGGAATGACACTTTGTCAACTGCAAGCCTTAATTCGACCAAGAATGGTTCCCGCAAAATGAGCGGAGTGAGTCGTTATTACACCTCTCGAAGTAGGCCTATTTGATCCCCAAATGCAAGAAAACAAGCACAGACAACCAGGTCCTTTTACTGTATTACTTGGTCGGGTATTTAATAAATAGATGAAAACAAATAACTTTTTTTTGAACATGGGTCTGGACAAACACATCGCATAGATGACAGTTTTATACTTTTGTTTGTCCTTGACAGCCCTTGTCCATTTGATTTACTCTTTTAATGTCAAAAGATGTAAAATAAAATAAATAACTAAATACATAGACGTTTCATATTTTCTAATGTCACAAATTAGGCCTGTTGCTCGAGCAGCTCTGCAAACGGGATGACTGTGGATGGAAGCGTGCAGACTGTAGACCGGGATCGGGTGCACAGACGACAAAGATGACGACAAAACTATACTCAAGCTGCCGAGATGTTGGAGTCTTCGCAGGGTAACAATACCAACATGGAAGCTCGGATAACAATGTGATACCATTACAAGCCTAGCTCCCTGACTACAGGGCGTGCTATAACACGCCATCGAGAAGCCTGCTCACGAGGGCCTTTCTAACACCTGCAAGTCGTTCGCGCCCAGCGTGCATTCATATTTAATAGCATGCTTTTGCTAATTTATGAATATCGATATACACCTGTCTGCTAGCGAGCTCACGGTAACAGCGTTTTAATATCTCGTTTACATGATTGATGAGACTGCCGACTACAGACTTTGACACCATTCAAACTATACCCTCGAAAAGCAAGAACACGCTAGAAGAAGACTTTGTCATCAAAATGGAGGGCCGTTTTCAGCATGGTTAGGCATTACTAATATTAGAATGCCACCTTGCGACTGTGGTACTTAAGGCTTGTGTTAAGGCACTGCAAGACGTTCCTCCACCACCAAAAAATCTCCTTAAACGGCCACAAATGTCCAAATCAAATAGGAGGTGTGCAATGGAAACATTGTGTCATCTGGTTGCCATAGCAACGAAATAAACAATGTCAGTTCGTGTCATCACTGGGATACAAAAATGGATGTTTTAATGGCACATTAGTGGCCGGCATGCAAATAAACCAAGGTTCACGCTCATATTTACGATGTGCTCGTTGAACGACAAAAACGGTGGTAAACATTTCTCTGAAAGCTATATTTGAGTGAGGTTGTTCGTAGACTCCTCACCAGGCGCACAACTGAAAACACCGACGGCACTGACAACATTAACAGCGCCTTTCTCTCTCACCAATTTCGTCAGTGGGGCGGTCGTGACCAGAATCATGAGTCAAGGGGAATTTTACAGTTGTGCAGCGCGGTGTCTTTGATCGATCGAGGTCCTCGCTGAGATCTAAAATAAGCCCCTCATTAGTTGTCGTGGAGAGTTGTTTTAACCTCGGATTATACGTTTAACGATCGCTTAAATACCCACCAGGAAAACGTTTAAGAGAAAATGGAGAAAAGATTCTTATGTCACAGCTAATTTCCTGACAACCAGTGAACTGATACAACGTCCAGCGTTTTGATGGAATTCGGCACCGAGAAGGAGTGTTTTAAGATGTCTGATCCAGATTTGCGTGTTTTCTGAAGTTTCTTTTGGTGTAGTATAATGTTGTAACGTTTTGTTTCGAGCGCTGTGTGGTTGGCGATAAATATTTTGATCAAGAGGTGGGATCATGGGTTGCACGATGTATGGGTGGGGGAGACTTTGGTTGAATTGCTGGTCCCTTGGTACGATTCACTACTTTTAAGGAATAACCTTAGCCTCGTGCGTGGTACAATATGCATTTGGGTAACAAGTGTGCGCTCATCTCGCTGGAGGATTGTCCACAGGTTGTTGACTGTTTGAAGTATCTTCTTTTCACTGACCGCGGGCTTTGTTTTCTCACAACAGTGTATCCGGCGCAAGAGCTTGGAAATCCCTTAATCCAGACGGGCATTTTATGGGGGAATGATTGTTCACCGTTTTGATTTTGCTAGCGTGTTTCTCTATTCATAAAAACTGCTGCGCGAGTCCGTGATGCGATTTCATTGCACGGGCATTGTCTAAACGGCGGTTAATTTTCCTCGCAGGCCATTTGATAGCCAACCACCCTTTCTTCAAAAGTTAATGAAAGCTTCGGGGAACCCAAGCCACCCATACATTTTAAGATCGCCCAGGCAACAAAGACCGCTTCTCTGTTCCACCTTTCTTCGTCGGCATCCTTTCACGCACTGAAGGGAGGCGCCACTCTCCCTCTGTATTTCTCCGTCCTTGCTCTGCTGCAGATCAAGTGGACACACAACCCCCACGACCCTCTGTCACACGGTCACGAAAATAAAAGACCGGCATCCCTTTTGTGGCTGGTAACCATCTGCGAGGGATCGCTGGCTGTGAATGGACGCAGCGCTCCGGGAGAGGCCGAGAGCCAAGAACCTACCTCATCGATTTTCTATTTTTCTCACCGAGGGGAAATTGGGAGAACACGGCCAGGCCTATTCATGGCTATTCAGAGGAGTTTACTGCGCGCGCGGTTAGCAACAACAGGTAACATGGACCGTGCTTCGATCTGAGCAGCTTGGGTACGTGCCGGGGAGTGTGAACGACAACCAAGTACAAAGTGTGCTCTGATATTGTGACTGGACATAGATCGGTGCTGTTGTGATCATATTCATAATGCGTGGGGATAACAGCTTTGTGAAGGATCAACATTACCATGCTTTGTGTGAAGACCAAACTAGGCCGGCTTGTATCCACTGGTAGTTTATCGTGTGCGATTATGGCATTTTCACGATACGAGGAGCAGGTACTCTTAAAATAATTTCCTTTACGGAATTACGGTGTAATAATTAATGAATTCCTTTAGGGTTGAATAGTCTGCCTGTGAACGCCGACATCTCGACGAGACTTCAAAAATTGCCGGCCGACCACTTGTGGGCGAGAACTCACTGCGCGTTTTGCAGCTGCTGCTCTCCGAGTGCCGATCGCCAAGGCAACGCCGGCCTTGCGTCTCCCCCCTCTTCCCTTGCCTGCCGTGCGAGTCCGGGAATGATTCAAGAGGAACCCAGCAGAACTACTGAATGGTGACGTGAGGTTTGAAGGTGAATTGCGCACACCCTTCTCTCAGACCTGGCCAAGGAGGGGTCGTCGATCATCAGTCAACCCCGGTAGAGAGACGATTCGCCTGGGAGAAATGCCAGCCATTTACCCCGTGGCCTCCGTACACGGCTTGTAGCTGTTTATCTCAGGTGGGTCCGATCGATTGGACTAAAAGCCATCTTGCTCCTCTTGTAGAAAATCTCATTATGATCGTGTCAGATAAATGCTCGGTGACGCTTTCAGGTGGCATGTCTAATCTCCCGGCTTATAACGGAAATTTTCTGCAAGCAACCGAATATTAGGGTTTGAGTTATGGACAACAGCAAGTTAGGCAGGAAAAAAACTGGTACAAGCAGAACCGCAGGATCTGGGTATTTTAAACACGACTTGTATAAGTAATTCATTGTTGTGAAGGTTTTTTCTCGTCCTTCGCCTCATGTATGAAAATTATTGCACACCGACAATTACCGACAGATTTACATGTACATGTATTTCTCGGTTTTTTTACGGGGGATTTGAACCCGAATTCTGGTCATTTTGTGTAACCGAGTGCGAGTACTTCGATAGAGATATTATGTAACGGTGTTAAATTTATGTTGAGGATTAAAAAGACAGCCACTCGACTATATCATAACCATTGGGGGGGGGTACCTCGCAAACCGGCGTGGCAGAGGACCAAGAGCAATGTTAGGGGTGTTCAGCACTGAAATTTTGCTGAGCAACGAAAATAATCTCTGAGCAAGTCCAGGACTCAACAAAATGAGCCATTTGTCCTCCATTGGTCTCGGTTTATTTATTTGTCTCTGATCACATAGAATTGGCCATGTGCATGTAGCTTCGTGAAGTTGTACCAAAAGAACAGCAAAGGTATTCCCGCAAACGTAGACATTTCGCTTTTTTCTTTCCTCTCCCTTTATTTGACTATTTTATTTCATTTATTATTTTTTTTTCAGATGAAAGATGTGGACTATGAACGTCTGTGTCTGAGAGCGCTTCTTGTTTATTATGCCGGTCAAACTTCTCGCCACTAACCCGTTTGCCGAGCCGGCCCGCTTAGAGTACGAGCCATCACCCTCACCGGCCATGCGGGCCTACCGCTGGAAGAGACCCCTTGGGGTTCTCCCGCAGTACCTCCGACCGACCGCCACCGGGCACGATGTCCCCCGCCTATCCGGGCACGCGGGGCGGCCGCACACCCAGGGCAGGCCTTCCGATGCCCGGCAGCTGTTCAGCCTGACCCAGGCGGCTACGGAGCACCTCCGAGCGGCAACTCAAATGGGCTACCGGGAAGAAACCAAGAGCTGTGACCCAGACCTCTACCGGATCGGCGGGCCTCCATTCGGGGCCAACAACAACAACAATGGTGGTAACTCAAACAACACCGGCAGTCCGAAAAGCAAGACTCAGCTGCCAAATATAAAACAAGAGGAGGGCTCCAGGCCTGGGTTTGAGCACAGACTGGGCAAGCAGACCTACAGCAGGACCGAGGTCCTGCTGAAACTCCAGAAGGGACGGAAGCCTCATGGGAAGCAAGGGCCGACGGCGAGCACTGGGGAAGGAGCAGGGGTACAAGGCCAAGATTTTCCCGTGATCAACGCCAGAGAGACAAAGCCTTGCACGTGTGGGGCTACCTACCTCGCCAAGGAGGCGAAATACAATGGATCTGAGTCTGGGTACCACAGCAAAGAATCGTCGGGCGCCAAAAGCCAGAACTCGTCTTTGAAATGCAGAAGGATTAGCAGTACACCTGTCACAGTGGCCAAGGTCAACAGAGATGGACACAGAACTAACGCGTCCTCCCCTGATTCATCAGGACAAGGAAACACGGGGCAACCGAAACTAATGACCATCAAATCTCAATCTGGTCAGCCGAATGATGAGCCTGCTAAAAGAAAGATTGGCTTCGTCGAAGTGGCTACTCCTCTGTACCGGGAGCTATGCGCCGGTAGCCCAGAGAGCGACGTCCGGGAACGATCAGCCGGGACCTCCAGCCCCGTGGTGTCCAATGACGCCGACAGCGTCTGCGAGGAACTCCAGAAGATAGTCCTTCGCCGGGCCAAGCACGACCCAACTTGCGCCACTCCCTTCGGAATCCGCTGGCGGGAGGATATGGACGACAGCCCGCTCTCGGACGCGTCAGAGAAGAACCGCTTCGATCGGGCCATGCAGGCGCTCCAGCCGCCAGTCCCTCATGTCATCTGGCCAGAGAACAAGTATTTCTCGCCGCACACGGTGTTCGTATACGCCAGTCCGTCTAGGCTGGCCCCCATGGTCATACCGTCTCACAGCGTGGACTGCCCCCAGTGCAAGTTCTACCAAGCCTCATCCAAGGGGGATGTTTGCCCACCGAACAGTCCCACCCCATGGATGCACAAGGAGTACGGATTCTATCCCGTGGAAAGACATTTCGGATCAAAAGCCGAACAATGAACTACATGTCTAGCTTAAACTTAAAGGAGTACAGAGGCTTTGCATGGTAGCCATCTTGCGGGGCAATTCTTGTTTTCAACAGAAAAACCTCCCTTGTGCATGCCCTGTGGAACAAAAACATTAGCCTACATCATGGCAGCCATGCAAACCCTCTGTTTGCACTTTTTCAAAGCGATGCCATATCTGATTTGCGACAGACCATATTTACGGATAGATTCCAGTGCCTGTGTATTATTTTTAATAAATTTCTGCGTACTGGCTTAAATTTCCACCCACAACAAATTATAGATATAGAAAGTCGTGCGTGCATGTAATTCAAAAATTAATACCAACTGAAGGAGCTGAAAAGAAGGCAGTTTCGACAATAAAAAGCTGTACTTTTGTAGTTTAGTATAATTTGAGACTTTAACTTATGCCTTAACAGTAAAGGGGTGCAGGTAATTTGATCAGTGTATTGCCTTACAAGTTCAAGTGACTAGTAGTTTGACCAACGTAGGGAAAAATATTATCTACGGTGAACAAGAACCGACAGTTTTTATTTGTAGTGTCGAAATTTCAAGAACTTAGAGACGAATTGAATCATGTTGCTGGCTTGGATACAACCACTTGGTCGAAATGCAATCGCTTTTTTTCTTCTTTTTATTATTTTTTTTCACAAGGACTGGGAGTATCGGCTTATAGACTCCGTAAAAATTCTATGTTTGGACAGACTTTTAGCCGAGGAGAAAATAATGTTGCCTCGTGAGCGCGGGTGGACACAAGCTGGTGCTCTCACGCGGGCTACCTGCGCCCACGAACCGAGGAACTGGCGGCGAGACAATAATTTACAAGGTCAGAACAAAAAGTCTTTACAAGATGGCAACTCCTGACGTCTAACTTCCAAGGTAGATTTCCAGCGTTTATTTGCATTTCTGTTTAAAACCCTTGTCAGAAAATGCATCAGCACAATCAATACCAAATTTCAGCAGAGCATCGTTTCACATCCATATCGTAATTGTATCTCTCAGATGCCGCCGGCTTATTAAATAAATGATGCTGCAAATTAGTTACTTGGTTGAAATATGTCGTTTTATCAAAAAACTAAATGGAGTTTTTGTTTACAAGGAAGATTAATACACGTAATCACAACTGGCCCCATTTTTGGTCCTTGTGCACCGATTCGTAGCACTGAAGACAACGAGGTCTCCTATTCCACAGTCCAAACAAATCACTTGCTTTTTATTTCGATTTTCGGGGTTAAGAAGGGGATCTTATTTTAAGTGATTTCTGAACTCTGATTTTTGTCTGGGTTTTCTGAGTGCACTTTTTGTATCACGTACATAATTGTCCACACTACTGTATTTCCTGACACCCGAGGGCGCTGTTGCTCTAATATTGTGGAACGCGAGAAACGTCCGCAAATGCGTCATTTTCGCCAGAGTCCAAACACGAAACTAACAGTAGCAAAGGGGGTTTGAAAGTGCATGTGCATGTAAATATCTCTGTTTTGTGACAAAGGCTGGCTCTGTCATAGGTGGGTGCAAGAGTAGATGGTCTCGACCATTCGAACGGCATGCTCACTGCCAAGGATGCATTACCAGTACCTCTGAGATGGCGGTTGGATATTAATTAACCGCACAATCCAGGGGTGGTCCGGTAATTAGGTCTGGTATGATAAACGGCTTGACGGGACACCCGCCCTCACGTGCGTCATCCATGCATAAGAGCGTTTGACTGACGTAAACATGAATGGGCGGGCAGTGACTGGCAGGTCTCCAACCTGTACTTAACAATGAGCGCTTAACTGTGTTAACACTGCATGAAACAATATGCTACCTAATGTGGTGACAAAACAGGGGAGGGGAAGTCGTGATAGATTCAAGTCAACAAGACTGGTTGCTTTCTCCAGGGAAAGAACCGGAAAGAAAGTAAGAACAGTTAAAACGGAAGATGATCGTTCTTTTGTTAGACTGTGTTGGTTGACAACAGCTACGGATCAGCGGGGGAGACACGTTGCTCCAGTGTGACTCCGGGTTTTAATTGTTGCAATTCTCCGAAGGATTCGGTCTGTTCATCAGCTAATGAGGTGCCCAGGTAGCTTGTCATTTAAGTCGACGGGCCCCACTCGCTCAGGACCCTTGTGTAAACGTAGTCTGAAGCTATTGCAGGTCAAGGTATGTTGAGTCTCGACGAAGGAGTTCAAGAAGATAAGGAAAGCAGTGTGGCCTGCAACTTTCTAACTTCCAACATTTAAAATTCATCTGAGAACCTTTTGACGCAGTACCTGACCGACTTTCAACAGTTATCGGCAAAGTTTGCCAATTGTTTTTGGTCATAAACTATAACATGGCTCCGTCTAATCCTCCACTCATCACCCTAGCGCCACCGGAGAGCTCTCCGCGTAGGCGCAGCACCAGAAGGGACTCCCCTTCGTCCTGTTTCACAGACACGAGAAGCTACCCTGAGGTGGGTGGAGAATCGGGCTTCCCCTCCCCGTCTGGGCGGTGCGGCGAGGCCCTCAGCGCTCGGAATCACAGAAAGTCCGCCTTCGCCAGGTCCTGTACGAATCTGAGCGACGACATCTTGCCCGTTCCCTACGGGCAGGACAGCAAGATGAAGAGGGTCTTGATGACCAGGAACGCCGACTCCCAGAAGAGATTAGAGATGGAGCTCCACAAGCTGTCGGTGGAGCAGGCAAAGAGGGCCGAGGAACTAACTGTGCAGAAGCTGAATTTCCTCGAGAATGCGTTCAAGAAGAGCGTAGCGGTGGTTGAGGGGTTGCAGAAAGACTGCGAGGCACTGGGACGTCGCAGAACTACGAGTGGGCAGGAACTTCCTTCGCTGTCACCAGCACGCTGTAGCTTGATCTCGTCTCGTTGCTCCACAGCCACGACCCGGTCGTCCGTCGGTTCGCGTGCCGACGGTAGCTCCGGTGGGCGGACTGGAAGCGCTTCTCCAGGCGTCAAGTTCCCCGTCATTGCCTATGCCAGCGGTGCGACGCCTGAACGCTCGCCAGGACCGGTCAGGGCGAACCAGATCTTCTCGCACAACAGACGGCTCCTGAAACGGGGGGAATCCATGCATAGGTTGGTGGAGCACAACATGGTGGAGGCTATCAGGCACGTGTCTGACCAGTTGCCGGCGAGTCTTGCCGAGAGAGACCCCAGTGACACCGCCGCGGACGGTCCGTTGACGCGGAGCTGCGTCGAGGACGAGAGGTTCATCCGTCTGCAGAGCTTGCTAGTGCCAATGTGGCGGAAAACGACCTGGGAAGAGCGAGGCAAACCAAGCGAGAACGAGAACACCAGCCTCTCTTCCACCGGTACCGGTGGGCCGAAAAAGGACAACCTAGCTCAGAAAAAACGAATAAGGACAGACGCATTCGGCATCAAAATGTCTAAACATTAAGACAATAGCCAAACTGGCATTCAACGTTTAAGGATCAAGGTACATGTATTTTAAATTTAGGCCTTAGATCATCATTGAAATCACACTGCGATCCCCCTTGTCGTTTTCTTATTACATGAATATAAATTAAAACATTGTTATCGGGCCACTTAAACAGGACACAACCGCATTGTCTTCAATAATTACGATACTAAGTTTTATTGCAGTCTTGTAGTTCATGTGTCGAAATATGCTAAACAGTGGTAATGGTCAATAGTTTTTATTGCCGCGGACTGTCAATATTAGTTATATCAACCAAACGGAGGTATATAGGGCCTAATCCGTTTCTTCATCTGTTCCTCAGTTGTTGCAACTGTGCCATACTGTACAAAAGACAGTTTGGTTTTCAATATCCATGTATCAGCAAACATTGTGCTTCCTTGGGTGTGTATGTGTGTTCCTTGTAAGATTTTAAAGTTTTGTCTTTGATGTTATTGCCCTTAAAAGATAAATGTTACGACCAGAAATTGCCAAAAAGCAGAAGTGTCTTCAAGACCAGCACGACCTGTTTGGATGGAACAAGCACTGTCAAGAAGTCTTTTCACATTAGCTTAGATCCTTCCTGGAGGTCCATCCAGAATTCACAGAGGCTGAGTTTGGGCGGCTTGTTTTCGTATGTTCACGAACAGCTTGGTTTGTTGTTCTTGGGTCGGCCACTTGAACGCCGGGAACGTACAAAGTTCTGGTTATACTGGTAGTTAGCAACAAGCATTATGCAACATGGTGGCGTCCATATACTTCATTTGAGAGTTAATGTTTGGATAACTGGGCTGAATTCTTTTCAATTGAAACAGGAACATCTACTTCTGTGTTATGGAAAATAATTAATGCTAAGTTTGCAAAACTTCCTATTGTCTCCAACTTTGTAAGCCATCTCTCTATTTTTGCAGCTGTTCAAAAATCAAAATCTCACGAGTTTTTCCGTGTGTTCGTGTAAAACCCTGAGAAGGAGGTGGTGTGTGATCCTGTTCCGAGAACAGTGTTCTTGAGTCCTGTTCCCGCCGTTCGAGCGTGAGAACAAGAAACCCGTGTCAAGAACACGCCGCCCGTACTCGACCAGATCGTCTCGATTCTGAACGGCTGGTGCTTTAATAAAGCTCTGGACTCGGAATTATAGAGGGCGATATAGATACTGTCAAAGACCTTTTTTCAAGTCATCGGTGTATGCACAGTCTACAGACTAGAGGACCTTAATTCGTCTATATTCCCCTAATGTTGAATTAGAAGGGAGACAAATGATAATTATATGGCTACAAAAAGACTTTAGACAGTCAATTCACAAATGGCATTCGTTGACGGGCAATTTCATATGGGTGCTCGACATGTGACATTTTTTGTCCCTGTTGGGCCTACACCTGATCGGTATAATTTGACAAGAGACATAATATTATCATTGATAGCAACTTTAAACTATTTCAATTCTTTGGCAGCTAATCCTCTTTGAAATTAAAGAATGCGTTCTAAACTTACAAAATCGTTCCCCAGACATCACAGAGACAGCACGAAGTTGGATCCCTAATTTATAGAATGACCTCAAGCGTGAAAGGCGTCTGTATTAATTTTTTTCATTGAGCCGCATGGGGGCGCTATCACAACGCCAAACAACTTTTAGGCGGTGTGCCGGGTATTTTTCGTATTGGGATAACTTGGGTTAGACTGGACGGAATGAGCCCCATCATTGGCAAGGGTAATTACATAGCACACACCTATTGCCACAGTTGGATAGTTTCTGTTAGAACACATTTCCAGAAGTTTACCCATCTCAGCATAATTTCACATATCGAACTGCCCTAGTGCCCTGACGATCACTTGGATTTTTGTTAGGCCCTACAGGTTTGTCAGGATTGTGAATGCAAAATTTGTTCTGAAGTCATGTGGATCCTTTCTGACAATAAAAAAGTGAATGAGATCAAATAGATTTCATAAAGTGTACATCTTGTCCCGTAGTCAGTTCAGTCCTGCGCCGCATCTGACAGAGCGTAACAGTTGACACCACCTAAGAACATAACTGAAATCTTCAAGGACAACAGTCTCTCCTCTCCCGACACAATGACATGAGATCAACCCATCGATTGCTTCCAGTTTTCTGCTCGTGTGCTCAATTATTTATCCCAAATACCTTCTGAAATTTAGCCTTATGGAATACCATCATCTTCAGGAAAACACAGAAATGACAATGCCAAGTGACAAGGTTGAGTAGTAGAATATTTTTAAACCGGCAGATAAATTATCGGTACTGTACAATGCAAAGAGTCTACAAAACACAACTGAATAGACTCAACTGGATCAAATGCAAAATGTAACATTAAGGACGCTTCTTTGCAGTTTTCCATACATATTACTTTTTTAAAATTCATTCTGAGCAGATAAAAAAATCTGTTAACAATGATTGTCAGCACAGCTTCAGTATAAGTCATTCGATTTCAGATTGTGGGTACTTGAGTCCACAGATGACTGGTGAACAAACAAGGTTTTGGACGTATTATCTGTTTTATTTGATTTCATTCTCTGACAGTCGTGTTCAGGTGCAGAGGTGAGCGAAGCCATTCTTGCTAGCAAACCTCGTCCAAATTGACCCCACAGACACTATGAACTTCGCCACCAATACTTGAAAAAATCAAACAAGATGTGAACCTGATAATATCTACTGTAACTTTACACTTTACACATGCATGCCCGAAAATCAAAACCAGTGCAGTGGATGTCTATTGGCAAACACAAGCCCGAGTACACATTTCGAAGTGTGCCATAGAATAACTATCGCAAAATGCTCTCGTGAAATCACGTCAGTATTTTTTTCAAATAATTTGAAAGGGTGAGTTCCCATCCTCAGTGTGAAAAAAAATGAAAACTAACTTGGCGTTGCTGTTTCACCGACATTTGATATGAATTCGACAAACTTGATGACCAACGTAAGCACAATTTGAGTTCGGTTTAAATAACATTCGGGAGGAATATTACAAAACCTGAAGACATTTTGATTTTTTAACAGCCTCTTTTGTGGTATTCTAGCCTTTTTCAAGGAACCTGCAACGAATGTTCTCACAACATGATACATGTATGTGCAGACCTCTCCGTGTGATGTTCCTTCCGTCTTTCAGTGTTCTAAACATTTCGCCGATGGAATTCAAGACGGGAAAGACACAGGCCTATGCACGAAATATATATGGATAGGGCCTCATTAGAATCACGTTTATAAATAAATAATGTCACATAATTATGAATACACCTCATCAGTGCCTGGTGGTAATTAATTGCTTTTTATTTGACAAAGTAGGTGAAGTCTCTCCGGTGTAATTTCTTCGGATTGCAAGTCATGCCGTCCAGCCAACCTGATACGACCCAGGATCGAGTGGACTTGGCCCTCTCTGTCGTTCGGTTGATGAGCTGCTCCACGGCCATCAGGTCGGTCTTGGACCGGGTCAGCGCGAACAGCTGATCTGTGGTCCGAATGGTGTCCGTGACACCCTTGCGGTCGGCCGGGAGTTTGGCTCTCGTGTGCTGGTCTCGGTCTTTCGGGGGTTGGATCTCTACCAGGCTCCGGTCCAGGTGGACGTGCGGGAACTTGCGTTGGTAGAAGTCACCAGGGCTCCGGGTGAGGTCTGCCTTGGACCTGGGCGAGATGATGAGGCGTGTTGAGGCGCTAGGGTGGAGGTTGGATCCCCTCTTGCCGCTGATTACATCCGAGTGCGTTGACCAACGATTTCCAGTCGTGCTGGACTTGAATTTCTTGCCGGTGAAGGAGGCAGGGTTTAAGCTGGTTTTTGAGCGGGGCGTCACGAGCGATGTGGTCAGGGACAATGGTGGGTCGGTACCCTCTCGCTGCATGATCGGTGGAGATTTTCTCTCAAATGGGTGCTTGATAGACGGGATCTTCGGCAGTGCGACGGCCCTTGTCAGCAGTTGGTTGCGGTGATTTGCGGTGCCGTCACCACCAGCAAGACTGCTGATGCCTGGCAGAATTTGCCTCGGCATCTTGGACTCCCTATTCTCTTCGGCGAGTCCGTCCCCCTTCGTTGCTAACGGGGAAACCTGGAAGTTCAGTCCGGACACGATGGATCCTTCCTGGCGCAGCAAAAGCCCTAGAGAGCGGGCTTTCTGGTGGAGCTCAAATTCGCTAGGATCGCTCTGCGACATTTTGGTTCCGTGACAAGCGCGAGTCTCACAGCTATCCGGTTGCAAATGCGACGCACTAGCCTCCGTCCAGTCAATTAGAGGACCACTGCTAGTGACTGGATGAACACTGGTTATGCAGTACACTCCTTGGAGGCAGGCTGAGGGAGACAGCGGCATTTCCACATGATTATGTTTGGACTGGAGAACAACATCTCCTGAAAACCGTCACGCAGTCCTCTCTCGAGTCAGTCGGCTGTCATGATTTCTCTGGGCAATGAAATACCTGCAGGGCGCACGTGGCGTGGTCTGTTGTGCGCGGTAGCTATGACAAAAAGTTCACTGGTGGTCGAAGCATTTTGTTCCAGGAGAAAAGGGGGATATCTGTGTACAGTGGGTACGACTGGTGAACCAAAAACAGGCCGGCCTCCCTGGCTGAAACGCCACGGTGTCACCAGTCCAAAATTGTGCGGCAGGTAATGGCTACTGATGTACCTGACTGCCAACTCCCAGCATTCACACCCCGGCCGGGTAGGGAGCAGATAAGCAAAGAAAGGCCGCAGGTGGCCAGGAAGGTTTCCATGCGAACCGCGGGTCGATACGCGAACAAACTGCCGCTGACAATTGAAGCCGTGCCGCTATCGATATTTACCGGCCATGAGCCGTGTGCCGCCTCCACTGCTTCCCACAATCTTGCGTTGGGTAAACTCGCCACTGTGTCGGGGCATCACTGGACAATCGTCTTACACAAAGCTCGGATTAAGTCATGAATAACTGACAACAGAGTCGCACACAATAATCATGATCGATTCGAAGGCCAGGTTGAGCTTGTACAAACGTTTGAACAGCCCGAAAAGTGGCCAAGCGGGTGTCAAAATAACAATTTACCGATAATTGAATTAAATTTTCAAGTTGAAGTGATATTGTGGCGACGCCTGCAATGGGAGATAAACTTTGATTAAATTGTTTACGGGATGGCGGTAAATCAGTATAAGGATTTTGCCCAACTTCAGCATATGGAAAAATCCACAAGAAAGTGTACAAGCATATACAGAATCCAAATCAAGAAAAGTTGGTCAAAGACTGGCGTTTCTTTCGATGTGAATCCAACAAACGGGTTGCCGATTCCAGTGTGCAGTCTGTTCTTACTACATGTATCACGAATGTAGATCATCCATGAAAGTATATCAAGTCATCTGGCTACAGTCGAGCCGTTCTGAAAAGGAGGGTTATGAATTAATAAAATCACAACTCACTTGAAATGAACAGAGTATGAAATCACTTGACACATAAGGTTGGACCCTCCGCGGAGAAAAAATATAATTGGGTGTCTGTACGCTTGGACGAGTTTCAATAACAATATATAGCGAATGCAGTATTATGCCGTGTGGGGTAGAAAGCACAGCGAAACTACTGTTTTGTTGGCAGCCAGAAGCCAATGATTTGTGGGACCAATCGCTGCAAGTCTGGGCAAGGTCGGGGGTCAACATTCGTGGATAATGCCTCGACCCTGAACACTGGGGTCAGGGTCATAGGGAGCCGGGATCAACTTGATCTTCACACGTCTCCCACGAAGAAGACAAAGCACGAAGTGCTGCATGGGAGAGAGCCCTCCTGCGGTCGGATTGGATCAACTGACCCATCTTGGAATGAACTCCGCGTGAACACACTTGTTATTAGGGCTGAGACCTTCAATTTGATCGAATATCCGAATATTCGGTCGAACCCACCGGCAGATTGTTGATGAACAAACTATATACAATATCAGTGGTAATAACGCAAACAATTGTAGATTATAATCAATATAATAGCTTCTCACATCTAGGAGTATCTCCAGCCACGATTTAGGAAGATTTAAGGAATGAACAATACTTCCTGCCCTGTTGAAAATTTCTATTCCTTCTTGAATTGTTTAATGTAATTAACTTTTCGAATCGTAAGATTTCTGTTGCTTTTCACATGAATCTACTTGAAACAAGCCTCCACAGCGCAATTTTTCTCATTTAAAACAAAAGAACATTTTTCATGAATTTTGCATTCGAATAATATTCAAATAAAAAAAAATCGAATATTCGATAACGATTAAATATTTGGTTACTCGGATATTCGGCACAGCCCTACTTGTTACCCTACAAGTATACCATCAGTTCTAACGACAATGTCAAGACAAGACAAGCATCTAAAAACAATTATCTATTTTATACATCATCGCATGACCGTCTGCCTGTCTTCTCAAATCTACTGCATCAAATATACAAAGCTAAAACCCGCCGAGTGAAACTGTTCAAAAAATCTGGTGTCGGTTTAAAATATTTGTTCTCACATATGTCATTTTATCCGTTTCCCATGACGGTGCTGCAAACTGGGTCGAGCAAGGAGCACGTCAGCTTCACCGCGCTCAGGAAACGAGCTACTAAATGTGGACTATGGCATAGTATCAACCGATGTGGCATCCAGTTTCATAGAAAGTACGCGTGTTGCACAAAAATAGCAGGTCGCCCCTTATCGTGCTGAGGCTGAGTGGGCTTCTTTGTTTTGCTTTTTTTTTAAATCAAGGCTGTATTGTCAAATCGTTAATTTCCGCCCCTTGCTACCATAAGTAAGTTGCAGAAACAATTTCCCATTTTGTAAAGATCGTCGATTTCTTGGTATCACGTTACTTCGAGGTTGCACCTGCAATATCCACCTGCGAGCTGCCTAAAATGGCCCGAGGATGCCATGCGCATGGAAATAAAAGGACGCCCTCCTGTGAAAACTTTACGGCACAACCGTGGTTGTTATGGTAACCAGTAACAATCCGCGGCATTTCCAGAAAACACGTTATTTCTCCATTTATTCGCGAAAAGTTTCTGATGTTGCAATCCTTCTACCTCATATTAATACTGTCGGACAATAATTTTTTGGGCAAATTTTAATCTTAACACATATTTGTGCATTTTCTACGGTTTATTTTTACGCGGTCTCCTGGGGCGGAGAGACACAGATTGTTTAGGGTGTTGCAGGTCACCGGTCATGCGGTACTCACACATGGTAAACATTACCGAACTTTATCTTGCACCTCTATTTACCCTTTGGATCCAGCAATAGCTTTGCCAAATAACCGCATTTCCACCGGTTTTACGCATCAAATCGTCATAAGAAATCCACCCGTAGGACATGTAAGATAGAAAAGTATTTAAATACATTATACATTCCAACAGTTCGGTGAAAAAAAAGCTTAATGTAGTGAGTGAATCAATTACGGAATTAGCCTGAGGTCAGCCTGCATTTCGCTCACTAGGCCTAGGGCCTACCTACAAGGGAACAGGTTGGGAAAATGACGAAAGAAAACGGTCAGACTCACCCAACTGGCTCCGACGTTTCACCGCAAACTCGCGCCAGAATGCGCCAGGGACACTCGGCGGGGACAATCCTGACGAACGGCTCCAAGAACATCACGGTAATCACCCCCTTCGACAAGCGGAGAGGGGAACCGGCTCTGTCGCTGCGGAAGGGAACACGGTGGATGCACCGGACCACCCTGTCGCTGGATGAGAGGGAGTGGAAAAGAGATTTCAGCACATCAGCAAAAGAGGTGAGTCTCATAATGTGATCCTGTGACTCAGTGAGGCAAAAATCCGACCTACGCAGGCCACTGATTTTTCCCTGGGTTGGCCGCTGGCCATCTGAAAGCAATAAAATGTCCTAAAAAGTCAAATTTAGTAGTGAAAATATGGAAGTAGGCCTATGCCTATTCACTTAGAAAACACTTAATTTTTTTTGTTCAGAACAGTCTCCTAGGGTTTGTGCTTAGGGCGGTTAGCGGTGTATGCGGAATTCTCTTTGGCCAACATATAAAGTATAGTTTTATAGGTCCTTTGCCCTTGAAGTCATTACCTGATTACTGAAGAAAGATATAAGGCCTAAAATAAATAAATTTACTGACCTCCAAAATGCATTAAGTATGTACTCATGCCTAGGCTATTACAGAAGACCAAAGTAACACTCTCTGTGATATGGGTGCATGGGCAGGACTGGAATGCATTCCATGGAGGGGGGGAGTGGACAAAATATTTCACACATAGGTTCAGCAGCACTAAAGTTACCCATGGTTCCAGACACAGTGTGATATACTAGTAGGCCTCTGCCGTTGAAAGTTACATTGACAATTAGATTTTTTCCAGGTCCTTGTTTATGAAGGAAACACATAAATACCTGTTTCCTTCCTCTTCCATGGTTCATGTAAGCAGCCTATAAATAAGCCCTTGTACAGCATGGTGGTAACAGAAAAAATTTGCCCATGACAGTCAAAAGTCCATATAAAATTGTGAATACCGTTCTGCAGTGCAAAGTTGTGGAATTTCTTTCTTTCCAGCTCTGGATTTGTTTTGTGTTGACATTCAAAACGGATAGCTGAATTCACAAGTTACTTTGATTGGTCAAAAGTTTCTTCACAGGGGAAACAAACGAATCAAATGAAAACCACATTGATTGCATGCATTTGAGACTCAAGATTAGTAAATAACGCTACCATGCACCTTGCGAGAGGTTCGGGTCTATGAGCTCTCAAACAGCATGTACATACGGCCCATAGTCCAACCTGGCTCTGTTCAGTCCAAACACGTTTATACAAAAGTTCACCTATATACACCTTGCCTCAGATGGGAGGGCAGTCTGATACAAGCTGATAACAGTTTACAATGCATTTTGTATTAATGATTGACCGCGTTGTTAGGCCCCAACCATTTGGTATCGTGGAGCAACACTGCAGTAAGGAGCCCTTCATTAGCACAAGTCACTTTAGAGGATTTTTTCATTAACTGTAAAGCTTCTTCTCCGATCGGATTGTTGCTGTTTTGAAGACTAGGCATATCGATGGTAACTAGTAGTTAATAATGAAGTTTATTGTTTTTGATACGACTATAAATGTATAGTTTCCTACTTCCGAAGTGACTGTTAATGAGATATGAGGTTCCTCGCAGTTTTAAGTGACATTCTTGTGAAATCTGCATTCTTGTCATGACCACAATCTGCAATATTCCTTCCTCTTGGTTTAGGCCTTTGGAGGCAAGTCATCCTTGGATCCCTCACAGAGACCCACCCAGTACCCAACGCTGCACACGTCACATTTTGATATCGGCTTGAACCGACAGCAGCACTTTGCCACGCGATATGGCAGCGAGTTCATGGGACATGCAGTGGATCATGTAAGACTGTTGTTACATTGGATGAAATTTGAAGCTTTTCGTGGTGGAGGTAGCAAATAAAATGGATAGGTTTGTGGTGGCACAACGGACAGAAGATACTGTCCGAAACGTTGAGTACCGCTGGTTCTTTCCTGAACCTCACATACCCAAAAAGAGATATATCCACGGTGCTACCGCAAACCTATCTAATTTACATTCATTACATTATTAAGAAATGAGGGATGTGATTGTTGCTATGACTTTCTGTAGAAACATTATCTGAACACCTGGTTTTCTAACTGTAGATTTTGGAATCGGTACTAATTAATGAGAATCTTTTGCAGTTCCAAAGCTTCTCTGAAAGCTTGTTTTCTTTTTGAGGGTTTCTTGGGGGCAAAACTTGAGGGTACTTCTGCAGTGTGCCTATTGCTGGGAAATTTATGCCAGGTACTGCCAACATGCCATGAAATAACGTGTGCATCAACACGACATAGTATTTCTAGTATAGTATATGATTTGCTGACATGAGCACACAGGTTATTTCCCAGCTTCACTTTACCTGTAGTTTCCCTGGGAACAAAAGAATCTTACGTAACACCGCACAATCTGGGCTCTTTTTCCAAGGCTGCAGGCCTGGCTGAAATATATTCAGGAGTCAACGAATTTTACCTGTCAGCTTTCGAGTAATGCCCAAAGAGTCCTTCATTTTGGCATAAACGGCCATTAAATGAAATGATGAATTTTAGAAGAATTTTGAAAACAGAATATCTTGAAAAGGACCCGGCATCTTGTCTTGCTCAAGAAAAATTCACCCGGCAGCAAGTGGTTAAATTATTGATCAATGAGAGAGGCACATTTAGCCACTAAATATGTATGAAGTGTTCCAACACTTGATGATTTGTCTGCATTATAAGGTTCTAACCCCTCTCCATCGATCCTTCCTGCTGACACAGCCAAACAAGTTACACTACCCCTCCCTCGTCAACTGGTCCCACAACGTGACCGGCCAGGACATGCAGAAAGTGTTGACCAGGGACAACAACCAGCTGGATTACTGGACTTCCTACGGGAGGGTGCACTCCAAGCTGGGACTGGAGAGGGGGGAGGGAATCCCCAGGCCAGAACAGCCCAAGCAGAAGTACGATCTTCTAACAGGTGAGAGTTTTTTTTTTCATTCAAGCCCTCAGAGTTTGTCTGATCAAGTGCATCTCAGGTTAATTCCCCCAGGTCCCCACAGTCCTGGGGGAAAATCCTGGAAAAAAAGTTGTGGAAAGTCATGGAAAAGTCATGGGGAATAACTCGATGTTTTGAACAGTGTACTTTGTCCGTCTGACGTCGAATTATTACCCGGTTCTTCTCAGAACCACACATACTCAAGAAAGAGATTGATACATGATGCAACTGCAATCATTTTACTTATCTAGTTTCTTTCACCATGAAAACCTTCAATTCTTAAATATGTAAATCTGTTGACAGAATCGGTGATACACTGGTTTATAATGATGTGACGGCAATGTTCTCTTTCTTCCCTTTTAGGAAAGTGTCTTGGCCCAACAGAAGCCAAGGACCACCATCTGGTGTCTGGAAACAGAGTGCTCTATTCTGCCAGAAGGGATGCACAAGATTACTTTGTCTTAGGGTGATGTTGAAATGTTAATTCTGAATAACATTTAACTTTATAAAAAATTCACTTCAGCCTGTATGTGGTATTTTATTTAATGTACGAATTGATTTTTATTTGGTTTTTAACTAAACTTGAAAACCAAAGAATGACTCACAACATCCCATCTATTATACTCAGCTCTATGACATGTACTTACTGAAAAACTTCTATTTAAAAACCCAGATGTCAGCATGTCATATACATGTTATTCCACAGTATTTTTCAGTTTGTCACATTTTAAGCATGCACATGTACATGTATGTCCAATGACTACCAGATAGGCCGTGCATAAATTAAATGCAAAGGACATCAGCGCTGCATTAGTACCCCACATTGTAGCAAGGTGTTGCGGTGTCTTGTGGCAGAGAAATTTGGTGTTGTAAAAGTGCTTCATTACAGCACTCATGCTGAAGTGTCTTAGTGCCCCATTTCACGGAATTTCCAGTATTTTGTGGTGCATCATGGGATATTCCAAAATTACCCTCGGGGGTTAGGGTTCGTGTTATTATTCCCTCTCCTGAACTACTCCATTTTGTATTTAAGTTGACCGTCAATCCATCACCTGTTCTCCACACCTGAACTGTTTGCCACTGCTCTGTATCAGCATATTCAAATATTGATGGAGTAAACCTGAAAATGTGGTGCAGTTATTCTGTGCCATTGGCAGAGACATTGTGCCAATATTTGCTTTGGGGCTTTTTACACCTAGAGCAATCAGTCTGTCTGAGTTGAATTGCGCCCTCCATGTGAAGTGTGCTTTGTTCGTTGGTTGCTAGGCAATGCAAGTGTCTCTCCACATAGGTGTTGGTCATACACAAACATTAGTGGTGTTACCGTCACGAACGGAATTTTAGTTAGGCAAACTATGGTGATATCACTTGAGGTTTCTGTGTCAGAAGAGGATTTAGTGGAATAGTGAAAAAAAAATCATAACATTGGTCAGGTCGACCATCCCTCAAAAACAATCCTGGGCAAGTTTTCTCATGTATCTAGGTCAACTGGAACTTGATTTGCAGTTGGAAAATTGTGAATGGTGTCCCTGATGGGTTTGACCCCATAGAAATATTTTTGGTATCGTGTAATTCAACAACCAGTATTAGACGCTACAACTGCGGTGGCACAACGCTCGTAGACGGGTGGTACTTGTGCGTTACCTGCCTGTTCAACCAATGGGGTGTCATGATTTGCCAAATGGGCGCATGCCAAACTGAAGAATGTGCCCCTGCAGTTATAGTGTCTAATGGGATTAGTCTATACGTATTAATTAATGCTTGTATTCCTCATTATGATATACTGACAAATAATAGAGGAAAATACAATCAGACTTTTGTGAAATGATGCAAGTTGCTGGTATGGTATGGTTGGCTGGTATGGTCGATGGCGTTGTGTACACCTTGGGTGGCAAATAGCCTTCTGATACTCACGTTAAGTTCTGATGGTTGTACTTAGCACATCTGAACCTCTCTGAGGTATAGTGAAGGTGGAGCATTAAGAGTTGATAATGAGGACCATGTCACTGCATCCAGAACCCACAAGTGAATTAGGTTCCATCTGGGGGTCATGCCTCATTTTTTTTCTGAGCAATATATCATACGAGTCATCCTCATCAATGAATTAATATCACTGCATGTGCAAATTGTTATTATATGACAGTTTTTCACAGCTTTCTGAAGATTGTACTTTTTTTTCCTTTTTAAGGCAAAAGTATTAGCATGGTTCCAAACCACAGAACAAATGGGCACTTTTTATTGAAATAGTTCTGGCAAGTGAACCCATTTTTGTGTAAATAACCAAGATTTTTGTATTTTATTGTATCATTGAAATTTACTTGTGCGTATGTATTTCCACACATTTTCTGTCTCTATTTTTAAAAGTATTTTCGAATATTGCAGTTATGAAATATCTAATTAAAACATGTTTGTCATGTAACTGATAGTTATGTCTCAGTTTTGAAGTTTCTTTTGTCACAATTAATGCAAATTTAAAATCTACATGTTAATCACCTAATTAGGGAGTGGTTTACTAAAAAGATTCTTGCAGTTTGCTGATATTGAAAATTAGAAGCAACAAAAAGTCACTGTGCTCAATAGTTCACAAAAATAAAGGACTCCATGGCTATAAAGTGCACATCGTGCAAGAAAAAGTGACATCGAGATGGACTTAAATATGAAAGGACAATTGTAAAAGTGACGACATGAAGGTAAATATTAAATACATTGTATACAAACTCATTAAATCGCAAACTTTGAAAAGCTGAAAGTACAGCTTAGAAACTCGGCTTCAAGGCTCATGACATGCAAAATTCTCCATTTAGGCGAGCTTCCCGTGTCGTGGGCCCTAGCATGCTTACGTTTTCCAGCTGGGTTTTAAATCCAAGGCACCAGGCTATTGGAGATACATCCTCAGAGTTTCCAAGTTCTTACTGCTTCACTAAAAAGCTTACCGGTGCATTTTTAAACACTGAAACTAATATAGAAGTTTACCTTATCTCCCAAGTCAAAGTAGTTAACGCTACCTACAGTTCCCTGCTGACGAAGTCGAGTTTACTTCCAAAAGTTCTGCGCCCGCTCCTCTCATACAGCCAGTTAGCTCTTCGACAGAAGTCACACTTGCACCGCTCAAAATTGACAGGTCGAAATGAAAGTCCAGCTTCTCGACACTGCCCTGAATATGTTTGTTTCCTGAAAATGAACGCTGAAATGTCTCTTCAGACTCCTCCACGTTTGTCCGCCAAAGTTATCCACGACAGAAGACGCACTTAAGCAGTCTAGCCTGAGAAATTAGGCTCAAGAAAACAGCCACAACTGGCAGGTTCTTCGATAATTTACGATCCACTTATACACTTGAATTGCGCGCCTGCGCTTGAGTACATATAAGCCACACCCACAAAGTATAAAACTTTTTTCAAAAGGAAAAGTTAACAGGCGAAACAATTTTCATTTGCCAGTATGTGAAAAGTGGAAATTGTATTTTCTCTCCAAATATATGTACCATAACCCCATAAATACCGCTGTATAATATCGTAAATAAAGATTTTCAACATGATAATAAATATTAATGAGGACTCCTTTGTTAGTTAATTAGGATGCCAGCAGACGATCGGAGGAAACGACAGTAAATTATTTTATACGGTACAATAATCTGCCATAAATCGAATCTAAAGATTCAAATAAATGGGTATAAAATTTTAGAAAGTTTTCGTTCTAACAAACCCTGTTGTCTGTGAATGAATAGTGAAATAACATGTCAAAAACTTTTAGACCAATCTCTCGTTTTGTTATTTAGCACGATCATGTTTCGATTCGGATAAATATAAAATAACACTAAAATTTGCAGTTGATGGATGTGAGCCTTTTTGAAGTAAAAATTACCAATCTAGGATTGTTAGGGGAATTAATTATATATCTCAATGATGAAAACACTCGAATTGGGCCCATGCATGAAAGTCCCCTTATGAACTTAAGTTCAGGTGCGTTTAGAATGGTCGAGTATTAGAGCGCCCTCTAATGTTCAAGCACCAGCTTACCCAATAAATATGGCGGCGCCCAAGATTGATGTTGAATAACACTAAATATTTCAATACTCAGTCATAACGCTTTGCATTGTCAGCACAGGTAAGTAGAACAGTAACTTAAGAATGTTAGTGTCCACGAAAGTGCTTTAGAGCTAGTTCGGCAGTCAGTCAAGTTAGTCTGACACTGCCAGCATTGCGAACACTGCCGCGTGCCTTGTCGCATCATGATCATCAGATCATCGTGCAACGTCAGCTACTGAGCTAGTGCTCGCAAGTCGCATCCATATGGTTGGTAGGCTATACCATGGCTATAGGCCTACTATACATATCCATAAGTTGGACGCGGGCGCAATCGCTCGATCACGCAATTATTTTGCGCGATCAGTCGATTTGTCAATAATCTTACCACCGGCCATCGCCAATTGCCTTCCTAATTCTCTGGTGTGGGAAATTGTAATCCCGCAGGGGCATGCAACTGCTTTGGTGTTAGGGTGACGGGGTCTCAGTCTTTTTATGAGGTTTGATATTGTATTTAAACTTTGTCTTTTTATGTCTAAACTGTATGCAATATTTTTTTAAATTTTTTTAGTTATTTTTTTTAACCCTTGTAAATTTGACCTGCGAAATTATAAATGAAATGAAATAGTTTTGAAAAGGGAAGTAAAGTTGGATATTTCACACAGGATCGACCAGTCATCACTTAGAGCCATGGGATGACTGTGCAAATCGGCTGATTGCTGGAAAGAGTTGAATATCTGGCAGTGACAATCACTTGCTTAATATGATTTGAAGCCACCAGGGGAAGAGATCCATATTCAGACTAATTTTCTCTGCAGTGGTTTATCAGCCATCAGAAAGTGACGAAATGTCCTGAAATGTCAAATCTAGCTGGGAAATATTGAAGCATTTCCTTAAAAAGCACTTGGGTTTTTTTCGTATCAGTCTAATTTGGTTTGTGCACAGGGACCTACCCCAGAACTGTGGGGTCTGAGGTCCGCCCCACTCCCATGTGTACCCCACAGTTCTGGGGGGTACACAGGGACCCCTCGGTGTCACATGATGCATGATGTCCATGTATGGAACTCTTTTCCCAGTACCAAACTGCTAAAAAAGAGTAAATCTAACATCTGATGATGAAACACAGGGCAAAACCCGTTATATGTAATTAACATCTCCCCAACGCAAAAATACATCTTGAAAATAGTTCGCGGTACCCGCTGCTTCATTTGACTTGGACCGGCCAGCCAACCCAGGAAAGCTCTGTGGTCGAGTGGTTAAGACATCTGCACTAGTAAGCAGGAGTTCATGGGTTCGAGTCCCACCCGAGTAAGCTTGTAAGGTTTTTTCGCAAGCTCTCGGACAAGCACTGAGCATACAGTGCTTATTAATATACGTTGGGCAAGGGCAAAACCCGTTATATGTAATTCTATAGTGGTGGTAAGATATCTGGATATAAAACTCTTTTTCTGATTCTTGTTTTCCCTTGAAAAAATCCTCCAGAGTTATGGATCACAAGAAGAAATTTGAAATAGGGTCTATCCAGTAATTTAAATTTGGATTTTTATTTTAATCATGGAAAGATAATAGACTATTTCAACTTTTTTTGAGAAGGGAAGAAACATTTGCCATCAACCATTCTGGCCCATATATGGAACTCTTTCCAACAATTTCTTTCCTCAAAGAACGCCTCCAGATACTTCAACGTTTGTCCTCATGAATTTGCGTTCGCATTCACTCTGCTCGTACAAGAACATACTTAGCTGATATTATTTTCACCCCACTTCAACGCTAACCAAACTTGCTCATGAACCGTTCTTTTTTGGGTCAAATTCCTGCAGTTTCACCAGTAATCATGCAAGCATCCCAAGCACGCTCTCTGACCTGTCTCGTCTGCCGCACCCACCGCTATGCAGCACAGGCTATCCGACGATCCCCCCTCTTGGCACGCCACGCAAGCTCGGAGGCGAGGCGTCAAGCCATGATTGACAGGATAATCCGCGTGGATCACGCAGGGGAAGTCGGGGCTGATAGGATCTATGCCGGGCAGATGGCAATACTGGGAAAGACCTCTGTTGGGTCAGTCATTCAGGTAAACAAGAGAAGGCATGCTGTACGCGCACAAGCTTCATTTCAGGGGAAGTAACATTGCTTGTTAACCCTAGCCCTCCAAATCCTCCAGAATCCTTTTCTGCAAAGTGGAGGAATTTGGAGGATTCAGGATGTATGGCAAAAGTACATGGCTGATTTCGAAGGATGCCATACGTGAAGGTCGTGGATTAGACCTTATGTTGTTTGTGCTCAGTCAAGCACAAATGCAGCCCGATATTTCTTTTGATCAACTGCACTGCTCAAGAGTGCCATTCGCACTGCCTCAACATAATGACAGGAATTGCCGGAGGATTTCGAAGGATTTGGGCAATTAGGCACACCTCCAAATGACATTTTCAAGAAATTTCGGAGGATCCTGGAGGATTTGGGCTGAATGCAATTTTTCATGTTGAAAATCAGAGGATTTCTGATGATTCAGGATGGTTCCTAGTAAAAAGGCCGAGGGGGTTAGGGTTAAAGCATCAGTTTAACCACAAACGAAAACTAGCCAAGTTCACTCGTAAATCCTCCTTTCCTGAACCATCCGTGTTCCCAGTCTACCGTAGCACAATGTGGCTTGTAGTTTATCTGAGAATACTGACTAGTTGACGCTACTCAAGCTCCTGTGACTTGAGGCGTTGTGACCAAAGTTCAATGTTGTGATAAACTTCAGCCACCCAGCTCGATTCTGGGCAACATGGATGACCTGGTTGTGTTGAAGGCCAATGGTGTGAAGGTTGTCCTTGACTTGGGTGATGTAGGTGCTGGCGAAGGCTGCCTCCTTGGCGAAAGGGGTCTGATGGTTGGTTATGTGGGTCCAAGAAGACACAATGTAATTCAATGGAATATAAGCACTACTACATGTATATTTATAACTGGGTAAGTTCGGTCAGCGACATATTGTTATTCCCAATATTCGATTTTGACTGGTAACCTATGCATGAAATATACACCGGGTACCAGGCAAAATCGACCAGTGGTTAACAAATTGTCACTGATCGAACTTGCTCACTTGTTTAAGGTGGTGGTCTCGTTTGTCAATTGTGTATGTTTTGGCCATACCCTCTCAAATCCTTCAAAATCCACCAGGTTTGGCGAGTATTTTTTGTAGCTACACTAACAAAGGCACAGCTCAGCTACAGTACTTTTACACGGGGCAGGATGACCTTTGGAAATAGAAGCGCAGAAAGTGTGCCACTAAGTTACTGCAAAGAGGTGGGAAGGTGGAGCAGTTTTTTAGCAAAAATGTGCCTGGAAACTTGTTTACAAACTTTCTTTCCTGATTGTTGTCAGGAAATGTGGGATCAAGAGAAACACCACAGGGAGACGTTTGAACGATTGGTTCCCGAACGCAGGGTCCGACCAACGGTGCTGCTTCCTGTGTGGAACATTGCGGGCTTCGTCCTTGGTAGGAAAGAATTTGCATACTAAGCTCTGTGACAGGATGAACTAAATTGAAATGTTAGGTATTTTTTGTCTTGCTGAAGTAATAATAACCTAACATATATTTCAATTTTTAAATTAACATTTCTGGGCCTTACAGTGGTTTTTGGGAGGTCGTTTTGGAATTGTCAGTCTTTTTGAAATTGTTAACAACTTTTAGACTTAATTCCAGCGGAAAATTTATTCTTCCACGTCGTACATCCAGGTGCCAGTACCGCATTGCTGGGCAAGGAAGGTGCAATGGCTTGTACAGTGGCTGTAGAGGAGTCTATAGGGGAACATTACAACAGGTAAATCTTAGATTCTGAGCTGTTTAATTTAAAAAGAGTTTTTAAAGTGAACAATGTGAGGTAATCAGCAAGTGTGTTTCAAATTGATGAACCTCAGTCAAATCAGGGAACTTCTGGAGGATGATCCAGAGGAGCATGCCGAGCTGCTGAAGATCATCAAGGAGTTCCGAGACGAGGAGCTGGAGCATCTAGACAAAGGGCTGGAGCATGACGCAGAGCAGGTCAGTCTGTAGGCCGGGTGTGGTTAGTGTGTGGGTACGGGTGTGGTCATGGTGGGGTATGGGTATGGTCAAGGTGGGGTATGGGTGTGGTCATGGTGGGGTATGGGTGTGGTTAGAATGGGGGTATGGGTGTGGTCAGGGTGGGCAAGGGTTGTGGTCGGAATGGGGTATGGATGTGATCAGAGTGGGTATTGGTGTGGTCAGGGTGGAGTGTGGTCAGGGTGGGCCAGTGGTTGTCAGGAGTGCTATTGGTGTGGTCAGAGTGGGTGTAAGGGTGTGGTCAGGCTGGGGGGCAGGGACGTGGTAGTGGGCATGGGTGGATCAGGTGATGTATGGTGATTGCAAAATATAGTGGAATTAATGTAAATACCCGTGTAACTTTTGTCCAGTTTATTTGTCCTTTTGATTTGACTTACCCAGGCACCGATGTACTCAGCATTGTCCAATGTCATCAAGGCTGGTTGCTCTGCTGCTATCTGGCTATCAGAAAGAATATGAAGGCCGCATCACATATAGGGCGCCCTCTGTTGGTGAAAGTGTGGGACATGCAACTGCTCGTTATTCCAACCGAGACAAAGCCCACCTGGAAAAAAAAAACAATATGGAAATGGCAAAAATGTTGGCCGTCACTTGCTAGGCGTGTGATTACGCACCGCAGAAACACTGTGCCACAGCTTGTGCCATTCTGAGTGTCCTTATTTACAAGCTGTGCTGGGACACTTGTGCACGTGTATGGCGTTAGAATGGATAACTACTGGAGAGTGCTTTTCTCAAGTTGACTCTGAAGATAACAAGGCAAACATTTGAAGGCCCAGTCACTTGTGACTTGTTTGCATTTTATAAACGCGTTGAAATACCTCCTACATGACAGTGACCCTTATTCTCTCATTTTAGTTTGTACCGGCTCCTGATAGGCTGAGGCCACCCTTAGTTTCAGTCACCATGGCAACCATACAAAATAAACATTAAGACCACACTTTTTATTTATGTACAGAAGTTTATTTATATCGTTTTTTTCCCTTCCATTGTAAAAGATGATCAGTATGGACTGTGTACGCAAGTTGGCTTACAAAACTACAGTGGAAACTACTGAAGAATTCTCATTGCAACCGATTCAGGTTTTAATCATTCTCAAATAACGAGATGGCGAGTGGTATAAGCTTTTTAACCATGCGTATACAAACCAATAGATAGAATTGATGAGCACAAGTTAACTTGTTTTTAGCCTACATAGTTTTAAGAGGAATAAAGTTGAAGCAAATGTCGGCCAATTTTGAGGGGGAAAAAAAAGGAAGTTTGTGATGTACACCGATTCTTTGAGATAAAACAGAAAAAGTTCACTAAATATGAAGTATACAAACAGTTAAAGTACCATCACCAAGCTGTTTTATGTCAAGATAATAGCTTTGGGCAATACACACTAAGCACATCTGCTGAGTGGCCCCGCTAACATAAACAGAATACGGACCTGTCAACATTGCTGTACTCTTTCCTGAGGTCTGGCAGTACCACACGATAGATTAAAAAGTATTTAAATGAGCCTTCAGTTCATTCAAAATTTTAATCTATCGTGTGGTAATGCCTTATTTCAGGAAGGAGTACGGCAGGTTGGCAGATCTGAGAATATACACATTGATTCAAGCCAGTTAAAATATACTCGGCAATGACCCAAGTCACAAGTCAGCATTCAATTTTAGTCCGTCATTTTCATTATTATAATGTACACAATCACCCTACCATTTAGTCTACCTCAAAATCATCCAAGTTGCCCAATTACAGGATTTAAAAAAGGCCAGTGTGATAGAGCTGAAGTTGAATTTCCTCTTTCCCAGGTACAAGGTAACTGATAAAACACCAAGACATCGCCCGAGAATCTGGCTTTTTGAAAACTGGTAAAAAAGCTATGTGTTGAGAGAAAGTATTTTAGATTTAATTATTTGCAAAACGAGCTGAAATCGCATTCAAGTCCTATTGGAACCTTGTTCGATCACATATCCAACTACACACGTTCCTACCCACTCAAAGTACTCAGTCAACACTACTTAAGTGCTACATGTATATGAGGGTACTGCACTCGTATCTAAATTTTGCTCTGGAAAAACGCTCATCTCGGGATTTAACACAGCAAGGAGGACTCCGTAACTGTGATCGCCTCTTATTACTAAGCCAGAAACCTTCAAACAAGGAACAACTTCAGAACTTGGCACACGACAAAGTCTACAGTTCTAATTTCTATGCACAGCCTTCTGGCTTGGTTCATGCACGGGAAAATCAGAGAAAAACTGAACTGGGTTCTACCTGTCATGCCAAGATTCTTCAGCGACTTAAAAATACTGCTCCCAAAACAAAAGATCTAACGAGAGAAAAGTCGGTGTACAAAAGAATAATGTCCACTTATGGCAGGGTACTTGTCTACATGTACACGCACATCTGTCAATGTGCTCAGTCACTAAGACGCAAAGCCACAAGTGCGGCACACCCCTGGTGCCAAGTTAGGATGGAACATGCTGCATGGAAGGAATCTAATGGTGTTCCGTTACCCATTAAAACTGGTGCTGCATGCAATTTAGACTCACTGACCACACTGTGCGTGACTTAGTTCACAGAAAATGACAGCTATGCTGCAGAAGGATAAAAGAGAGAAAATATTACAGGAGGCTAAATTTCATAGGACACCAGCAATGCCTTTTAGTTCAACATGTTTTTCAACAGAGTTTTTAAAGGTGTTCGTCTCAATGACAAAAAAATGAGGCCTCATTAAATAAATGAACTACAGTTGTTTCCTCTTTTTTGTGCATTGCATATTTATATATCTGGCTGCCTGCAGCCTCCATCCAGAATTTTCTGCCATCCTGTGGCTTTACAATTTTTATTTTACTCCTACAAGATAGTTGTAAATACGGTTATACACATACTGAGTACATCTGTTCCATAGTACCCAATGGAACCTTGGTGTGGTTGAAAGAGAGGCTGCACTGGCAAGCAGCGATCACTTCAACTGAATCTAATGTAACAGATTAGCAATCCATGTAATATGTGGCTTGGCAAATATATAGTATCACTTTGAAGAAAGAGCTGTGTTTGTTTGCTGTGGCTACAAATAACATGCGAGGCAATGAGAACAACAGGCCAAGCTGTAGCCACTTCCCATAGATGGCTGTGCCAGTCCCAGCCATATATGATTCCAACACAGCCAAATTTGATTTTTTTTGCAAGTGCAACCTCACTCTGATCCAATGCAGCCATTCCTTAATAAGAGCCACCTGGTGCAGCTAGGGATCCTAATGGATCTGTGCCTTGTTTGTTGAGGGCTCTAGGCTGTGTCTTCAGCCACACAGCCCATAAATAAGTCTTGCAAGATTAACTTGAATAAAATCTGGTACACCGAGTTACCTGATTGCACATCAACATAACAATATGAATTCTCCAGACTAAAGACACTGCTGCTGTGTACCTCGTAATTTGGGGCAAGCTTTTGCATAGCAACTACCATCTCCATGCCCTTTTTATCCATAGCAAACAGTATATTGGTGCAAGAAGACTCCTACGTAACTAAGGAAAAGCTTGCCCCGAATCACAAGGTACAGCAACAACGACTTTAGTATGGAGAATCTGAATTGTGACATTCACCTGAATTTAAAGAACTCAGTTTACCAGATTTTTTTCTCTGGTTTAACTCGCAAAAGGCTAATTGAGGCATTCAACACATTAAAAGAGTAACACCTTCACCACTTGTAACCTACTTTTTTTTTTTTGCCAATACAAGATCCCAATCATGTAAATTACAAAGAGCATTCACCACAACAATGTGGGGCACAAATATCAGACTCAAAACTCCATCTACACTAACATTAACTAACCCCCCCCAAAAAAAAAAATTCAACTGAAAATTTCAGTTAAATATATTTTTTATCATGTACATGAACTTGCTCCTGGCTATGTACAACTCTACAGACATATACTTTTTGTTGGTTAAAGTGAAAGTAGGCCTACATGTGTTACACTCTTTCCTTTGATAGTGTTATACAGAAACATTAAAACAGGGACATCTTAAACCGAGCCTGCCCCTCAAAACAAGTTCATGAGGACAGTTTTGAAGCATAATTTCAACCCTCTCAGCGAGTCTGAGTTGCTTAATAAATAAAACCAAAATGCTTACATTATTTATCAAGTGATTACTTTCATCAAGTCCTGGTAGGTTAAGTGTTTTTCCCACGGATCTTCCTTGACCAATTTGTACAATTTGGCTACAAATATTGTACATCAAAGGAGGATATAGCCCTTCAGATGACTACAAACGCACCTGTTTACTTATCATCCAAATAAATATCCACAAAATATCTAAGACGGTACAAAGCTATATCATTCGTGAAAAAAAAATCACTTAAAGATGCAATTGGTATGATACAAAATAATGCATAAAACACAGCTGAGAACTTGTCATATAAGAATGCTCTTCCTAAATTAGTGTTAGGTATTTGATGAGCCCTCCCCGGAAGAAAGTCCCATTTTCTCATGACATATTCACAACGCACAAGCATTTATATCTGCTATAAGACAAATGAAAGTTTTTTAAGTGATATAGTAATTTACAGTTTTTCTTTTTACACGGTTTCAGCAACATATGGAACATAGTATTTAACAAAGAAACGGAAGCTCACAATTGTGCTGTGATTTGTCAAACTTTTAGCTTTTTGTAGGAGGAATTACCCCCCCAAAAGCAAACAACCATTTCAAGCCTTTTTCTTTCATTTTTTTTTCTTAAAATCAACTAGTATTTCTTGTTGGCCTTAATTTTATTATAATTTAACTGAAACTTGAAATATACAAATACAGCAAAGGGATATATACATGTATATGTGTATCCCTATGGTTGAACTAGGTAACGTCAACATGCTCCTTAAAGAGATTAAAATTTGGAGACAATGAAAAAAAAAACCAAAAAAACCAAAACAGGATTTTCTTTCAAAAGTCTGCTAACAGAAATACGACACAGAACTTCACTGTGGCCATTATTGTGGAATTTGCTATAACATTTTCAGTGTCAATTAGATATTTCCCTGAGGCCCAATTGGTGTATTTTGCCCAACTGAGACTCTCATAAAAAACTGACCAGTCTTTACTGCTGCTTTGGTGTAACCTGAATTGTCAGCAGTGGACTCTCAGGACAAAGTCAGACTCATTGTGGATTAATGGGGCAGCTCTTATTTCTATACTGGTCCCTGTATTCTATTTTGAATGGCTAGTTATACGAACGAATGATCTGGCACCCTAGTTTTCCTAGTAAAATTACGATGATTCCCCTAAGTGAATGGATTAAAAGTGCATGCCGACCAGCCCTTCATGCAACCATGATGAAGCCACAAAATTGCAGGCTGCATCCAAACAGTACGACTGTGGCTTAAACACACACATGAAGCAAGACGCTGACACCCACAGCTGAGTTACTGCCAGCCCTAGCAAATGTAGACACGGCTTCGTGTGGGCAAATGCATCATTTTCCTTACGGCCTTTGACACTATGTCACCTTTTGTCCGTATCCACCCTGCATGTGTACAGGCACTGCTTTTCCCACGTACAGGAAAGGTAGGGTCAGCTACCCGCCTGTCTGTCCTCGGATAGGATGAGGACAGGTCTCCAGTCTACTCTATTGCAAGGCTGCAAAAGCGCCCTCTTTGATGTGCACACTCAGTCCACAACATTGATAATTACAGCAGCGAGGTGAAGCATTTTTTTCCGAATCACCATGGGGCTTGGTGGATAATTTCTGTTGGAGTTTCTGGTCGCTGAGATATGTAATGTACTTGTGAAGACGTGCCAGGCATGGTCCACTTTTTTCCAGAGTTCTATGAGTCCTTTATGTTGGATGAAGCCTTCTTCTTTCTGGCTGCCAGCATGTCATAGAAGGGATCCTTGCTGATGCTGGCCCTGAAGACGAACCAAAAAAATTAAACCAGTGGAGTGAAAGTCTTACCATAGCAACATCACACTATCTCCTTGTACGGGTAACGCCTTCCATTAGAAAAAGTGCATTTTGTAGGTTTTTGTTTTTGGCCAACACTGACTTTTGCTAAGGGGAAGAAAAACATGTGACTTGTCACTGTTTGTTCAGAGCATGTAATTACTGCATTTCCTCAAAACACTGCCTTTTCTTCGTGAAAATGGAATGCGGGTGGGCATTCCCAAGTAACACGAAGGACGGTGTTGTAGTCGAGTCCATCAGGAGTCCTTTCATGAGTCCACTCACAAGTGACAGGGTGAACAATGGCAGGGGAATGGCTTTGTAGACATTTGAATAGCCTGTGAATTGGCTTAAGACTGGATGGCCTGTGATGAACTCGCAGGGACTTGTGACGGACTCGACAACAACACCGACAGAGGATATGTTTGAAGTGTTCTGTTACCCTGTGACTGGCAGAAATGACACCGTGGGCCTCAAACTTTACAGAAAATCCTTGCATCAGGGTCATGAAATGTTCTAATACTGGGATTGTCCATCTACATTATGTCACAGTTCACATGCACATCCCGGGTGATGTTGAACTCATCTCACTTTGTAAATTGAACGCAGCAGGTAAACTGCAAATGTCCTTTAAGCGAGACCCTTTTAACTCAACCGACAGATCTGTGCCAGATTACAATCTGGACTGCAGCACAGGAAGTGCAATCTGATTCCATGCCTCAAAACCTGCCATCTCATTTGATTGTTTGTATGCCTCTGCCCCCCTACATTAGGGAGCTCGGATCCGCCCCTCCAGCTAGCAACAGGAAATTAGACTAGCCGCTGGTCATTTGAGCAATTTGGTGCCAAATCCCCCAAGCCCTGAGTTTGCATTCACGGCTTTGGGGAGGGGACGTGAGATCGACATTGCGGCAAAAACGGTTACGCTGGGCGGCTCCTAGCAGCACAGGGAGACACTGATTGAGAAATGGGGCGACTGTAAGCCCTCGAGGTTCAACACTGCACAGTGTGGTAGAATTATGTTCTAGTGGGATCAGACTTGCTGAGTGTCAGGTCCTGACACGTGAAAGCCCTGAATTCAACTCCTGCTACCGCTGACAATGAATAACTTTGGCCACGATAAGGGTCTACACCTGGGCAAAAGCTGGGCACAGAGCTCAATATTTTTTAACATCATTACCTGAAAACCTCTTAATATCGACAAGAATATAATATCAAATCAGTGCTCTGAAATATGTGATTGCCAAGCTTTCGGTAACTGAGTACCTTCTTCAGGGCAAGCAGATTCAGATCCAGGTACTGAAAGCTTGGCAATCACATATTTCAGAGCACTGATTTGATATTATATTCTTGTCGATATTCTGATCACAGTGCTCCGCAGCCCTTCCATATTTCTTTAAAACCTCTCTTTGTTTCAAATTCTGACATCCTTCTGAAAAGACGACAAAGTGATCCTTTAATCAAAACTCCTTCGCAAATGTTGTTGATAAAAAAATTTGAAAACACATTTCATGAATCTCAATGATGCCTCAAACATAACTCCAGCTTCATTTTAATTCACTGAGTGCAGCATAGCAGGGTAGCAGGGAACTTGCGGCAGGGTGAAATGGCTACCATCTAGCTTCAGGTTTCTAATAAGGTTCCGCATGTACTTAACTGCGGGGAAATCGGTGATTCCCGGTTTCAATAAGCCCCGTAAAAGTAAATCCCTGTTTGATATTTCCCTTCCAGTATGAAGTTCCTGCCAGCAACTTACGTGATGGATTTGATCCAGGCCTCTTTCTCCTCCGCGGTGGAGGCCGACATGCGGTAGATGTTGTGCTTGCCTTCCACGACCTTCCCATCGGCATCCGTCTTGCAAGCCTTGATAATCTCACGCCCGTCCGCCGCATAGAGCTCAAAACAATGCTGCAGAAACCATAAATGGCATCTTAAATTTTGTTCAGAACATAAACTCAATGAACCAACCTTATTCCCAACTCATCCCATAGTGGATCCAGCTCCTTGCTTGGTAGTTCCAACTCTTCCAATGGCAGGAACAACTCATCCCATGTAATTACATTTCATCTCACAGAGGGTCCAACTCATCCCATAGTGAATCTAACTCATCCTTAGAGGGTCCAACTCATCTCACAGTGGATCCAACTTATCCTTTAATAGTGGGTCCAACTTATCTGATAAGTGGATCCAACTCATCCCGTAGTGGATCCAACCCATCTCAGAGTGGATCAAACTCATTTCATAGAGTATCAACTCAATCCCAACTGAATCTAACTCATCCAAATTCATGCCTAGTAGATCCAGTTTATCCCAATGTGGATCCCAGGGTGGATCTAACTCAACCCCATATGGATCCAATTTGATCCAGTTCTTGTTCCTGTTTAATTGCCATTTGTCTTTTCCCATGTTAACCAAATTATTGAATTTCCTGGTCAAATACATGACTTTGGTGTAATCAAGTTTTCCAAAGTTCCACTCACAGGTTTCTTGCCGTCTTCCATCTCTCGGATTTGTAGGTTTTCCAATGGGATGATACCTCGCGGTTCCTTATCCTGCAAAGAGACAAACGACATTGCACAGCAACATAACTACAACCTCTTCACGACGTTTGCTTTAGAATTTCCTGAATCCTTCAAGTTCAACCATACGAAATCCGACAATGATGCTCTCTGTGTACTAAAGACAACAGCACATACATGGACATGTATGGTCCTGAATCCATGACAACCCTACAAACCTCGATGCTGACTTTGTAAATGTTTGAGTTGGTTAGGAATCAAAGGAATAACATGGGAGGCAATGCCAAAATGTAACGTGTAGAGTGCTTATGACACAGAATATGTGCACATGCTTGACAACCCTCACTGGAAATCTGGAATAGTTGCCATACACAGCAACTTTGGGTATTTTTGGCCGAGATGCGATCGACACAACTGGCACATTTTGGTGTCTGGCATCCGAAACAATGTTAATAAAAACCCTTCAATATAAGTAAATGATGCTTACAGTGGTGTACTCAAAGTAGTAGAGACAGTTATCGGTTAGAATAAACCACCGACGTTTCCAGTTCTTGTAACGACCACCTGAAGTAAAATACAAGAAAAAAAAGAGAAGCTTTTATGCTGAGACACTGATGTACTTTTTCAGAAATATTGTCACATGACAATAGACTAGTCAATGCAAAATGTACCTCCTTGTGCTGAAAGATAATTGGACAACAGCACGATCTTATTACTGGACCAAAAAACCTGGGCCGAAGCTCACTGAGCTGTCTGACAGAAAATATTGCTGAGCAAACATATCAGCTGGGCACAAAGAGACACAGAGGCAGATATAAAGTCACAACACCTGGGCTGTGCCGCTACATCTGACAAAATCTCATTGGAACAATAGGCCTAATTTTGAGAAATTGGGGAGAGGCCGTGGAAATAGAACTAGATTTAGAATTACGCCGTGTGGAAAAGGGCACAACGGGCGGCAAAGTTTCGGGGGAACTGGGTCAATATGATGATCTGTCTTTGAAGAGAACTGAAGCCTCCCTCATAATTTCAACACCCTCGAACAAGAGGAACTGTGTTTCATCGTCACAGGCTGTCACAAAAAATGAGCTACGAGTACAACCCTTCTCTTTGGAGGGCATACACACCCTGAAAGAGGTAACTCCCAAAAGCCAGAGACATTTTTGTAACCAAAACTGAGAGTAGTTTTTGTGGTTTAGACAAGCTTTCGGAAAGGAAAACATGATTAAATTGTCTCCCCAAAGCCATCCTTCGTACGTACAGAAAAATAAGACAAGGGCGACAGGACTGGGAAATTTTTTTGCTTGAAGTGGAAATGATTAAGACCCTATCCCATTTCTGGAGGAGGGAATGATGCTGATGGATGCTTCACTGAGTGATTTTCATGTGGTCAATTCCCCCGTTGGGTCGTGTCTCATCCCCCTCCAAGACGGGCGACTCATCCACCAGCCTCCCGCGGGAATAGCGACCGGTTAAGGACAATTTTTCTTTATCGACCTCTCCAAGCTGTAGTCTGCTCCCTTCCTCTTTCCCAGGGTTGATACACCGTTCACTTGGTGACAGATTTACAGACATTGAGAGCAACTTTCACAGAGGTTGAATATTGGATTTTTGGATTGATGTTGACAGCGGTAGACTAGTTTATTTTTCCCAAACGACTGACTGACCGCCAGGGGAGGCCATCAGGTTGTAGGAAAGGTTGAAGTGGGAGGAAGGGTGAGAGGGGGGCAGGTTCTGGTGCTAAATATACCCCCCTGGGTCCAGGCCTCCCCCTTCTTATTTTGAAAACCCAGACGGGGTCACAGAAGCAGTTCTGAGGGTCAGCTTGGGGCATGGTAGTGTATGTGGAGCTGAGCATCGCTAGGCAGGGGGCAAAGCTCTTTTTATGATAAGAGGTGGGGGAAAAACGGCACTCGATGGTAGCAGCCTTGCAAGTCATCACCGGTGGAAAAGGGTAAACTCTGACATACTTTAAAGCAAATGAGTGATTCTTATTCCTCTTCTGTCCTCCCCCATTTTCCAACGTCCTTTGAGGGGGGAAATTGGGTGAGACAAGCACCCCTCTTGCCTCTCATGACCCCCATGGTCGCACAGCAGACTGTCACATCTCACAACTAAGTTTAATTCAGAAATTTGTTTTCTTTAATTCTCTTGATGAAAGTAGCAATGTTAACACCTGAACTGCAATCTGCTCAAATGTAGCTGAACTCCTCCACCCCCAAAGTTAAAACGTCAAAAATTAGTTTCGGTCTGGTCTCTCTGGACTACATTTTGATCTGCTCTGGAGGTTTGTCAGTCTCAAGCATGATAATTACAGAGAGTGGAACGAAGGGCTCCAGTGGTTTGAGGAACCTGGAGATGGCCCACAATTGTGGCTTTTTGGGAAATGAGCAGGGTATGAACAAGGACGCTTGAAAAAGTCACTAATAATTTTCTCATGGCTTTGTACTTGTGAAGCTTCAATTTGACAAATATTTGAAATTAGTGGATGTATGCAAATACAAACCTTTACAGTCCCGGCAGGCAGAAAGAAAATGCATGTTAGTATGGGAGAAAAGAGATTTAGCGATCGATAAGCTAGAAAAACTACAGATTGAAGGAAAGATCACCGAGAAATTTGTATTGGCTGACTGTTTAAAGGAACACAAGACTAGCAACAACAAAAAAGGCTTCATTTTTCCAACAACTCTAATTGGCACATGCAATTTCAGGCGAAACGCTAGAGGAGAAGTTGCCAAAAACAAAACAAAACAAAACAAAACAAAACAAAAACACATGGCAGTTGTGAAATACTTGTCTGGTAAAAGTGCATGCTATGAAATCACAATGACACAGTTTACAACAGAGAGAGGGGGGTTTGAGAACCGGCACAGGGCAAGTTGGATTAGTGACAAATCGTCAACCTTTGGTCAATTTGACTGCTAACTTATGCATTAGCTAGCACCAGGCAACAACGACCAGTGGTTAAAAAACTGTCTGCTAATCAAACTTGCCCAGAATTGCAAATGCAAAGTTTGAACAGGTTCTGACAAGGGTGTAAACAATGCAGACAAGGCTTCCTTGTGTGCAGAGCAGCGTATTGTTCAGCTGATTGGGGGGGGGGAGTGGCAAAATGGGACAGTGGGCGGGGAAAAATCAACAGGACCATCCAGAAAGGAGTTCTGGAATTCTGAGGACAAAGTATGCGGGTCCATAGAAGTTCACCTATGTGAAATGATTCCTTTCATTTCCCCCCCCCCCCAAGCCTTACATTGCATTTTTTAGCTTCCTCAAAGCTTGGCTATTTACTCCCATCCTTCCTAAATGGCTTGATTCAATTCTCTGGGGGAGGGATCGTCCAGAGCTCCCTCCCCATAAATTGTGGGGGTTTTCCAGCTAATATCTCTTTTTGGCCCTGGCAAGGTCTCCATGTAACACCTCCATTAGGGGTTGTCTAATTAGATTTCAAAATAGAGTACAGTGCACTGGCATGTGATGTCAGGGGATTTCCTCTGATTTTTCCGCTCTGCAAAGAAAACTGCGCTTACACTAATACGCTTGGCCCTCGCTGGGTATGTCCAAGTATCTAATGGACCGGGGATTCATTTTTAAAGCCTCCGAGGGCTTGTCTTCTGGATTGCAGCTGATGACAAAGAGGATACCACTGTCTCGTCTAATTTGCTGCGAGCGGCTTTAATGAAGAACATGCCACTTTTCGTCCATTCTGTAAATAAAACTTGAGAGTGCTGTGCTCCAAGTTCGTTTGTCACCGCATACGTTCTTACCAAGCTTGCGTCAATTTCAACTTAAAAAAAGAGGAATACGCGATCCATGTATAATAAAAGTGCACACCAAGGCCGAATCTTGATTGGTTTGACAAACCAATAGCGGGATGTATGTTTTGACACAATACACGCTGACGTGAAACGAAGGCATCTCATCTTTTTTAAGCACCCCAAATAACACATTCACGGACAATTCTGGATCTTATTTTGAAGTGGCTCTTCTGGAAGTCCTTAGTAGGTCAACAGTCCTGTTTTTCAACCCTTTCTTGCATGATTTACAACGTCAGTGGTACCAAAGCGAGATAAGTGTTTCTAAAAAAAAAAACACCCACAGCGTGGGCTGACTCGTCTCAACCAAGTTTGAGTGGTGAGTAAACAATGTCTTGTCTGCAAAAACGTGCCCGGGAAAAAAAAATATAACTGAGACCTGACGGGGGAGTTCTGAGGCTGGAAAAGTTAGTGCGGACAAAAGTACATGCCAACTCAACTGTTGCATGTGCCCACGTCCTAATCGGACGATTTCATATTTGGAATAAATAACTTCCTGTAGCATGAAGCGTCTGACAAGGTACCAACAAAACTGGAGAATCAAAAAAGTTCACATTCTGCACAGAGTTCCAAATCTCAAAAACACTGGACTTTTAAATGATGTTTTACAGCATTTTAACAGCTGCTTGGAAATGACTGTTTTGCATACATTTTTGATTTTTTTTATTTTAATGATTCAAAAAATGTACCATATATAAATATACATGTATAATGTATATATGCAGCCCTGAATGGACTCACAAGTACATGTACATGTATATGAGGGAAGTGGCTTGCTCAAGGACACAGCGTAACTGGCCATCAGCTGGATTCGAACCACTAAGCTTCACTCAGCTTTATTTTTTCCACCGTTTCCACCAAAAATTTTGCTTTTGCTCTTACTTAATTAAAGCCACTTAAAAAAAACAGTTTAGCATCAGTTGTATTTGCAAAAAAACACGAGGAAGGGGGAGGACTTATTTTTTTTAATACCTCGGTCTGCTGCAACCACGGAATAAAAGGGCCTTGTTCACTTCAGAGTCATGCAGAGAAGTGCACATGACATTGTGTGTGTGTACTCAGGTTGCATGTTGTGCGTGCGCGGGGTTTGTGTGGGCATGAGGTTGTGTGGGAAGGAGGTTGTGCATGCGCGAGGTTGTGTGGGCATTGTAGAAACCATGGGGGACCGCTAAGGACATCGGATAAACAGCTTGTACAGAAAAAAACAACAACACACGGCGAGATTTTTTGAGGCGGGTGCTGATGCTAAACTAATTTTTTTTTTTCATGTGGGCTGAAATGCACAGATTTTGATAGAATCGGAATATGTGGCAAGAAACTTTCTGTCTTTCATAGTCTTTCTGCATTTTTCTCTTGAAACCAAACAAGACAAACATAGCCAAACAGCAGATGCAAGGGTTCACGTAACCATGCTGTAAAGGAAAAACAAAGCGTTCACAATTTCACCGTCAAAACACCAGGAAACAGAAAAAAGAAATATTCTGAGCGTTGACAAGTCACGCAAAATGCACAAATACCAATGGGGCGAAGGTATCATGCTGACTGTGTGTGTGTAGACAAAATCTAAGGCCACAGCATCACAAATGGTGTGAGGAATCTAACCAGGATCCTTTTCTGTGTAGGTTGCCTTTGCAACATATTTGTGACCAGTCACCCACAAAATGAGCTGAAAGTCTGATTTTCCAAAAATTGAGCTATTGGTATTTTTCAATTCAGCAGAAAAGGAGCTTTCCAATGGTGCATACATGGAACAC